GCCCGCTTGACTTAGGTCGGGCTCCGCAGGGAGCAGCAGGTCCGCCGGCTTTGGACGAGCTCCCTCACACCGAGCCTCGCTTTCCTCTGCCATGAAACAAGGGGCACAGGCGCACATCTCTTATCTGCCAAATGCCAGAGCTTCCTGGAGCCCAAAGGTTTTTCGTACAAAAAATGTATGGCAAAATTTGTCTTGAACCCATGTGAGGCCGTCGGTGGTCTTTATTCATCACATTTAATGTGAATATTCAGGTTGTGCTACCGATGAATGAACTTGATTACAGGGTGCAGGCCCAGGCCTCGCGGGGAGCGTAACCCCACCCATGGCACCAGGTGTGTGCGCCGCATCCTCATTCTGAAATCGAACCGCTCCGAAGCGCATCAGGCATGAAATAGGGGGCTGTGGACCTGCGCCGGCTCTTTCTCACAGGAGCTTGGGGTGGGGGTGGGGTGTCAGACGAGATAATGGATATGACAGTCAGGAGGCTGCTTCCCTTTTTGGCTGCTTCCAACATTTCAGTTCCCTCTTTTAAAAAAAAGAAGAAGAAGCAGCTTGATGGGTTTGTTTCAGAAAGAAGTCCACTCATAGTGGCTTTTTCTTTCTTTTTCGCTTCAGATTCTAGTTATGTTAATTTGGGAAATCGAAAACAGAGCACGTTTTAAAAACGCTTACATCCTCAGAAATCTGCCCACGGCATGACTTCTTGAACTTAGCAACTTTTCAGGAAGGGGAATGGAGGGGGATGCACAGACATCTGTCACCAGCTGTGTAATGATGGTCAATTCGCTTCCTCTGGGGGTCTCAGTTTGTCTTTTAGCCCAAAGAGGGGCGGGGGAGGGGGGGAATGACTGCATGACCCTTGAAACTTAGGAGGCTATAGTTTCTTTGTAGTCGATGTCATTTCAATAAACATTGATCCCTGCCCAGTCCCAGGACCGAGTCTGGGATGCCCAGAGGAAGGAGGCACCGTCCGCATAAGCAAGCCCCTGGGTACTTCTTCCACCCCATGTGGTTATAGCGCAAAGAGCTCGGGATTTGAGACTACAGAGGCCCGAATTTGGTTCTGCTGAGTCACCGGCCCCTGAGTCACCCTCCAGCCCCAGTGCTACCATGTGTAAATGTAGAACAATACCTAAGGATTCAGGTTGTTGACAGCTTTCAACCAAGTGAGCTTGGACCCGCGGGGCCCGTAGTAGGCAGTCCGCCAAAGACTGGCTGCGGTTCCACTTAGTATCCTTTCCTCCTGCTCTGCGCCGCCCGTGCTCCGGTTTCTGCAGGGGGCAGCCCGCCCCCTTGTGGCCGGCGTGCAGAACAGCATCCAGCGGGTGGGGAATGGACCCTGCCCGCCGGGGATGCAGGGGGGTAGGGTGAGGAGCGGAGGGATCCTGTGCCCGGCGCCGGCCTGCCTGCCAGACAGTTTCTTTGGGATGGACGGCTGGATGCCAGCGCTTCTCCTCCCGGCGCCCCTCCGTTTCCTGGGCAGACACCTAGCGGCGCACTCCTGAGCCCCTGCACTCTCCGTCCTGGTGATAGTGGGGTGTCTGTCTGTCCCTCTGAGGGGTGCCCCTGAGGTGGAGGACTGCCTTGCCCTCTGCACCCCCGCGCCCCGCACAGAGCCTGGCCCAGAGCGTGTGCAGGGTATGGACTAGGGACGAGGAGCCGCAGCTCCTTTCCCATGAGCCCAGGCGCTCAGGTCTGCCTGCCCAGGGACACCACCCCAGAGCTCTGGACCAGGGGGGAAGGTGGAGGGTGGGGGAGGGGACCCTATATTCGGGTTCCTCCTGAGAAATTCCCCGGCAGCCACAGTCACTGCGGAGTGGCACCTTTGCCCCTCCGTCCCCAGGCTCCCTGCAGTGGCAGTGGAACATTGGAGAGGTGGTGGTGTCTCCTGGAGAGGAACTGCCAAGACCCGGTGATTGGCAGAGACTGCCCGGTCCCACTGCTGGCCCTAATCCTCTGTGTGGCCTCGGGGTGGCTGAGCATCTCTGGTTCTGTTTCCTCCTGTGTGATGGGTGTAAACCAGCTCTCTGTGACCCGGCTTTCCTCCAGTGTCGGCTGTGGGTCTCCCTGACACCCCACTCCCCACCCACTCCAGGGGTGGGGCCTCAGTTCTCCCCAGAAAGGAGATGCCACTCCGCTCTTAGTTGTGCGAGGCAGCACTTAGAGAAGGAATTTCCTGAAAGGTGAGCCGGCCTGTTTTCTTCTGGGAAGAGACCGGAGAAGCAGGTGCTGCCCTTCCCTCCGTTTACTCACTCGCTAAGCGTGCGTGGACCCGACCTGCCAAACAGCGTGAGCCTTCAGATCCAAAGGTGACCGAGGCCCAGCCCGGGCCCAGCGTCGGGGGCAGGAGGATGTCAGGAGGGCACAGAGGCCCGGCCCAGCCTGGCACAGGGTGTCTGTGATTCAGCCACTCTCAGGTGCCGGGCAGAGGTGGAGGTGTGACATGTGGCACCGTTGGGGCCTTGCAGCCCCACCCCACCCTGTGCAGCTGGGCTCAGGAATGGGTGCTTGGATGAGGGGTGGGGAGTGCCTGGCCCTGCAGGGCCTCCCGGGCTCTCACCGGGGAAGGGGGGCTTTATCCTGCAGCCCTGGGAAGGCACTCAGGAGAAAAGGGGGTGGGTTTGAGAAAAGACCCTGTGGCAGGACTTCGAGAATGGAGGAGGGCCTTCCTGGTCTCCTGGACACTCCGTGATGACAGGAAACTTGGGAGGTGGACTCAGCAGCCCATGGGCTGAGGGGTGTGTGAGGGAAGCACAGTTGGCATGCAGCGGGGGGAGGGGGTGATGGGGAGGGGAGGAGGAAAGGAATGAGGCTGAACCACTCTGACCCGCTGGGCTGGGCCCAGGAGGCAGTTGGCTCGGGCGGTCCGCTGCCCCAGGAGAAGGTGCTCAGCATGTGCTGTTGGAGCCTTGGGTGTGGAGAGAGTGGGGACGTGGGGACAGGAGTGCTGAGACAGCCCTGGGGCCACCACGTCTGGGCGACAGACAAAGGGAAGAGAGAAGAGCCTGAGAGGAAGAAAGCACCAAGGAACAAGGAGGAAAACCAGGCGATGTTGGCTCGAAGCTGAGGAGAAGTGGCCAGAAGAAAGGGGAAGTTAGATAAAGGCCATTAAACATTCATCGGAAGTAGCCACCAGACGTCAGTGGTGTCTTATCAGGGACGGGTCAAGGGTATGGCTGAAGCCAGAGGTCAGAGGAATGAAGGGGAGGACACGGACTGAGCGTGTAGACAGCTCTCAGAAGCTGGGCAGGGAAGGGAGAGACGCCGTGTGGCCAGAGGCAGGTGTAGGTCGAGGGTGGAGACTTCCCCGAACCTAAGTGAATGGGCAGGAGCTGGGAGAGGGGGAGGCTGCAGGTGGTGAGGGGGTAGGTGATGAGATGGGGTCTCCAGGAGAAAGGATGTGAGGCAGGGCCCAGCGCAAAGGGGGAGGAGGGGCAAGGATGTGAAGATGGAGATGATGTGGAGTCCTCGAAGAGGGTGGGAAACAGTATCCAGTCGATGGACCACTTGGAAGAGGGTGGTGTGGAGAGGCAGGGACCACCCCCGTCCCCAGATGAGAGGAGTCTCTACACTATACAGCATTTTACAGCCTGGTCAGTCACCAGTCACTCAGCTAGCACATAATGACAGCTGGTGTCTGCTGGCCACTGGGGACACAAAGCCTGGTAAGATGAAACATGGTCCCATGGGCTCTCACTCAAAGGCTCACCCTCACAGTAGCTCTGAAGGCAGGCCTTAAAGCAGCAGTTCTCCACCTGTGTGTCGAGACCCCTTTGGGGGTCGAACGACCCTTTCACAGGGGTCGCCTAAGACCATCGGAAAACACATATATAATTACATATTGTTTTTGTGATTCATCACTATGCTTTAATTATGTTCAATTTGTGACAATGAAAATACATGCTGCATATCAGATATTTACATGACAATTCATAACAGTAGCAAAATTACAGTGATGAAGTAGCAACGAAAATAATTTTATGGTTGGGGGTCACCACAACATGAGGAACTGTATTAAAGGGTCGCTGCATTAGGAAGGTTGAGAACCACTGCCTTAAAGGTACCTCCATTTGCCCGGAGTACAAATACAAGTTAAGAGTTTCAGTGACTGGCTGGAAGGCACACAGCCAGGAGGGGGCAGCATTCAGGTCCGCTCCAGGCCTCCTGACCCCAAACCCCACTCTGGCCTCCAGGCCTGGCCACCCTGTTCCCCTCAGCAAGGACAGCACAAGCCGAAGGCAAAGAGAGAGTGCCCTGTATGTGCCCAGCCCGCCATGGACATGGGCAGCAGGGAAGGAGGCAAACCTAGACCCTCCTCTTGTTCCTGCAGCTGAGGGCGTCGTAGGAAAATGAGAGGAACCAGAGAGGGCGAAGCACCTGCTTCTGAGTGGGGAGAGATGGAGGACAGGGGAGGCGAGCTGGAGCACTCTCCCCCCTCGCCCCTGAGCCCCTCCAAAGAGGTGCTCCAGGACCCAGGGAAGCTGGGGAGGAAGGGACCTGAGACTCCTCCTCTGTGGCTTGGGGCCCACCCCTGGGCCAGGGGGCCTCCTGACTCAGGGTGAGGTCACCATCCCCGCCCAGGCTGGCCATCTGAACTAGCCCGCCCCTGCTGCCTGGGCATTGGCCACAGGGAGGAAAGAGTTACAGCCCT